GTGCGGAAAGTCAGGCAGCGCCCGTGGGGCTGGCTTTGATCCCCGAGTTGGTGACTCGGGGGGAAGTTTCTGCTCTCGGAGGTGCGGAGGTGGGCCGTCAGGCGCTTTCGGGAGCTGCAGCATCTTGTTCTGGTGTCACCAGCGCGGTTTTCCCAAATTAGTTTAAACAAGAAAAAAAAAAGTTCCTAAGATGTTGCGGTATTGTGGACATATGGTCATATCAATGCAATATGCCTGGGCTACCGCCTTTGGGTTAAAATGTGGCTGGCCATGTTCTCCTGGGTTACAGTAGTGGAATGGAGTGATTTCTCACTGTGAAATGATACTGCAGTAGTGTTAGTGGAGGCTTAAAAATACTAATGTTGTTTTTACGTGCAAAGGTTTACATTTTTTTCCTTTATTTTTTTTGGTTGTTGTCCGTTAAAATAAATTGTCTCTTTCCCATTTGGGAGTTTTTTATATTTATGGAGAAAGGCATAAATAGAAAGGCTTTACTGTGCTGAAACTACTTCAGCTGGAGCAGGAGAATGTTTCTTTTGACAGCTTCTGTGTCTGCCTTAGGAACATCTTTTACTTTGGCGGAGCCATTGAAATTAACCATGCTTTTCAAAATCTTGCCTCTGAAATTAAGTACCTGATTACATGGCTGAACTGCCAGAATCTACAGCAATTCATCAGCTTTGAAGACTAGTTTTTTTTTTTTCTTTAAGCACTTTGATTGTAAGAGTTCGTGTTTGAAACATTTTGCTTTTACCAGTCGTCTTATCTTTAAAGCACTTCTGCCACCTCTCTTAAGTGTTTTGGTAACTCGTGTGCGTAAGTACATTATTTGCAGATCATACCCTCTGAAGTAGAATCTTGTATGAAAGGCCACCAGAAAAAAAGCAATCCTTATGACTATTTCTTATTGTGGGAGACAGGTTCCTGATCATTTTTTAAAAAAAAAAAAAAAGGCGCCTTGAGGGCCTTTCCAGACCTTGCTTATTTCCATGGCACTAATGTGTTCTGGACTTCCGGTGTCAGAACTGTAAATATTCTTCACACTTGGTGAAGCTGTGCTCTTAGAAACTCTTCCTTGTTATAAGTTTAGATTATAGGATTTGGGGTGAGGGTTGGGAAGGTCTAGGCAGATGGGGTAATTCCAAACTATGTTTTGTATTTTGTCATGGTACATCTAGGTAACTTGTCCTTCTCCCCGTCATTATCCAGTCTGCAATGGACAGAGCAATACAAAGGTTGAAGTGAGACCGAGAACTTCTCTTTTCCCCCAAGGGAAATAGGTGCATGCCATTTCAGAGTCACTATGATCTATGGTCTAAGTTATATACAGGTATCTAGTGTGTGTAGAAGTCCCTTGAGCTTCAGTTTTTCTAGAAAAAAATGAGATAGTTTTATTAGTGCTGTGTGTAGTAGCTAAGTTAAAAAGAGAATTAAATGATTTACCAATAATCTTTAAATCCTTCTTTTTTTATCGTGATTGCATAAATACCACATAAAATATTATTGTCTTAGAGATGCATTCAGTTTAGCTTGCATTCACACACAACGTTATTTTAGGACTTAATGCAAAATGAGTTCAACTCCTGTTAATTTTATAACAGTGATCTATGGATTAGGTAGAAATTTAGCGGGGCGGAGATGGGGTAGTGAGGAACAAATAATAGTTTGGAATTTTTAATCCTTACTTGCTGAATTATCAAGAGGAAACAAATGTAACAATAATTGTGGCTATGCAATTTAAAAATTCAATAACTTGATCCCCTTGTGGGGGAAAAAAATACCCCCCCCCCTTCCTGGGATTACTTCTTGCAGTTTGTTTGTTAACCTCTCCCTCCTTTTTTTAATAGGTTACAACTCAAATGTATGAAAGCTAGCAACTAGAAAAGTTCAAATTGTATGAGCAGTTTATTTGCTAACACATTTAGGTTCTGGTAATCTTTAATTATGCAGTCTCCTGCTTTTTGCTCACCCTATTCATGTACTGAAGATATATGGTAATGGAGGAGGGAAGGGAGCTCTGTAATATTTTTATTATTAATTTAGCAACCCTTACACAATTTAAAGACTGCAGGGAATAGCTATTCATTTTTGTATGCTCTTCTTCGAGGGTGCTTCTTAATGTATTATTTTAATAGCTCACAAATATTGATTCAGCACCTCTTTGAGATGAGAGAATATTGTTTTCCCGTCGGTAAAATTAGTGTAATAAACAAGATGTGATCTGAGGTCACAAAAAATAATCAATGGCAGAACAGATTAGAATTCAAATTCACCTGTCTCTGTGCTGTGCTGGTTTCTCCAGTAAAATAATGTCAACTGGATGTCTCTATTCAATGGATATTATGAGTGCTTGGCATTTCTTCATGTCAGGGTCTGGGGAGAACAGGCTCATGTTGGGAACATTAACTAATGGCTTGAGACAAAGAGTTCTTCTTGGTGCATTATTTGCATAGCAGTGGGGCAGGGACAGGTACAAAATCTTTTAAATATTTCACTCCTCCTGCTCTCCTTGGTATTTTTGTCTACACGTTTTCAAATTCTGCAACAAACAGAATGGGCAATCGTATGGATTTCCTTATCCTTGCTTTGCCTTGATTGATTGCCGGAGTAGTGTCCGCCCGCTACACTGAACAAGTAGGGGTCCTACTGGAAAGCGTACTTTGTGCTCCTGTAGTTAAACATCGTGATAATGGGATTAAACACACCAGGGGATGAATTCAAGTTGCACAGGAAACTCTCTGATTTGTGAATGCTTTACATTGAACCTAAACAATATTATATCTTCAATGCAAAAACAAATTCTGTCACACATTCTGGCAGGGTCATTACAGTTGCATGTCAGCGGTGCTGAAATGTTCCAGGCAGAAACACAGCTTGAACTCAGGGGTGAGTACATTGGTTGGGAGCAGGAGGAAGCTGTTTCTGTAAAGCTGAAGGGGAAAAGGTCGGTGCGGCAGTGGGTTTATTGCAGAGAATTGCTGGGATTGCACAATGCTGTCCTCTCTCTTCTGCCTTCTTTAAGTGGTGGGAAGGTAACATCAGAGACAGAAACGGGATCCTCTGGTCATGAGTTGAGCTTTTCGGGAGAGGACGAAGTCAGTTTGTTGCCCTCTTGCCTCTCACTTTACACCTGGGAGTGGGAGGGGTGTGACTGTGTGTGTAATTTTTTCATCCCTTGCCTGTGTCTCTGCACCTTCCAGATGTATGTGAATTTTTGGAAGTTACTGAAGGAAGCCCAGCCCTGTTGTATCTTTTCTTCTTTTGAAAAAGGCATCCTCTTTTGTATTTCCATGTTCAGGATCTTTTTGTGGGTATTGGTTTGGCAAAGTGGGATGTTACTTGTCATTCTTTCTCTTGCTGCCAAGTTATTATTGACTGTACAAATTGTTGGAGGCCTGCTTATTTTTAGTTTTCCTTACTCCTTGATGCACGCTCTGAAGTTTTGAGAAGGTTTTTGGAGGTTCCTTCTTCCCTAAAGGCATATTGTTTCTCCTGTAACATAACTTATACTAGTTGCTTCAGTGATCATGATAGTTAATTTTTTTCAATGTTTATAGTAGTGAGGATATAGTTGGAAGAGTTAAGAATTATGCCATTAAAATCTTTTAAAAATAAATAATGATCATTATTTTATATATATATATATATATTTTTTTTTTTTCTGTCATCTTTGTGACATCCATGACTATAGAAGGGGGTATTTTTTCACTTCTGCTTTCATGCTTTGCAGCATTTCCAATATGAAAATGAAACTTCTGTATTCATATTTAGAAAGTAACTAAGATCTTTTTAATGCAAATGTAATGAAACACTCTAGTCCACGTGGAACTTAGCTCCTGTATCCGTCGTTCCTTGTTCTACTGAACAAAAAGATCTTAGGCAAGCTCTCTGGTTTTGCCTTTGGGATTGTCTCCACCTAGACATTATCCAGGTTTTAAAAATCTCTAGTCATATTGCCCTAATTGCCTTATTTCACTGTATTCCCTCTACAATCTTCAAATTAACATAATTTACCCATTTGTTTAGCTGCTTCCTGAAAATAGCACTCAGGAGAAGGCAAGATGCTAGAACTATGAGAAGGTGGATCCACTGCATGAGTCAAAGAGTTTAATTATGCTTACCTTATATTTTTGGGCACTGCGGTAGTTATATTTACCCCTGATCCCTGGAAAACTAACTGTCCTTCTTTGACCTCCTTGTCAGTGGTTGCTGGGCTTGCTCCTTATGTTCCTGTCACCGAGGTGCAATGTAGCATTTCTTCGTTGGCTAGTTCAATTTTAATATTATACTCTTGTTGAAAACTTTACTCTTCTTTGTTCTAGAGTATTATTTTTCACATTTTGATGGATATAATGAATGCCAATTCTTGTAGAAGAATCCATCTTCACAAAATAAACCAGGGCGATTATTGTCGGCATCTTCTAAGCAGACGTGTATTTACAGCTTTGGTTTTATATATGTGTATATATATATATAT